GCCAAATTTCACCCTGCTTTCCATCTAACAAACTTTTAATGTATTAGTGATATGTGAGGGGTAGAGACTTGTACCGCATTCAAGTTTATATGAAAATTGATACAAACTTGTTAAATAATTTTGTATGACTACTAACAGGTTAGATTTTGTTCAATACATAAATCTGTAAGCTGTAGAAATAGTATAGTAATCATGGACCAATATGTTAGGTGTAAAATTAATTTTTTGAAGTAATCAATTTCTGTGTTATTGGATTATACGAAATGTTTAACAAAGCGTCCATGTTATGGTTCATAAATTATTCTAACCTACTTTTTACTAATCATTACCACACCTCATTGAACATAATTAATGATTATTACTTTCATTTTCGCTAATTTAAAGGTTAGACAATCACTTAAATTTATAAGCCTCTTTTATAGTGAAGTTTCAGAATGATTGAAGAAAAAACTATCTTTTTATTATTTTTCATAATATCATTGTGTTTTCAACAAAAATATGTTTAAACTAGTATTTACCCACAACCTATGTCAACTTTATTGGTTCAGTAGTTTTAGAGCCTATTTAATGCAAACAAATAAACAATCTTTCCTCTTTATAATATAATTTCAGTATGTTGTTTTTAATATTATTATGTAAAGAATGTTGAGTTCAGTACATAGTTTTTAGTATATTTACCAGTATCGAGGCTATATCTGTTATGTGATAAGATAAATTGGTAATCTATGGCTTTAAATTTTGATACAAGATTTTAATATAAATTGTTTTATGTTTAAATTTCATGACTCATTCTTCAAAAAATGTATGTTATGGAAACTATGATATGAGTTGTATCTCACAGATGTTTAAAATGTCATTTCAAGTTATGTTTTGAGAAACAATTAAATAAGCACATTCATTCATAACACTACCTCTAAGTAAGATGACTAACGGTTGCCCGCGGCTCCGTCCGTGCAGTAGGAAAAAAAACTTAATTAGCCTATGTGTTCTTCCAGACTATGTTCTACATGTATGCCAAATTTCAGCGAGATCCATACAGCCTTTTTTGAGATACTTTCAAACATCCATCCATCCAAACATTCACATTTATAATATTATAAGTAAAATTTAATAAAAATGTTACACAGGCTACAATGTGTCAGTGCTACTGGATATGGAAAACATCCCTGATGACTGGGAGGAGATTGTGAAGAAAGTTGGTCTGTTGAAGAGGAACTGCTTCGCGTCCGTGTTCGAGCGCTACTTCCGCCTGCAGGAAGATGGGGACATCAGCCACAAGCGAGCCGTTATCAACTATCGCCAGGATGAAACATTGTAATATTACTTTTTATCTTTTGTTTTTATTTTTATTAAGTTTTATCTTATTTTTGTTGTTTCATATTCACGTTGTGTTTGATTGAGAGTTTTATTTAAATTAATTAATAAAGTAACAGCAAAAACACATACAGAAGTATGCACTAGTTCGTAACATGTCAAATATAAAAGCATATAATAAAGGAACTAAACTTAATTAGAAACATTGATTGAAGATAGTTTACAAGATTAAGTTTACATTACAAACTGTTCAATATTACAAATCTTATTTTTATCTATATTTTTAATATATGTATTACTGCTATGTTTCAGGTATGTGGAAGCTCAAGAAGACCGAGTGACAGTTGTGTTCTCCACAGTATTCCGTCATGAGGATGATATGGTCATTGGAAAGGTGTTTATGCAGGAACTGAAGGAAGGCAGAAGAGCGTCTCACACAGCGCCACAGGTAGCTAAACCATCAAAATATAAAAGAGTTACTGTTCCATATATATTTTATAGATTGTAAAAGGGTCATAAAGTGACATCAACTGTTAACTGAAATAAAATTATAAAAAGTTCAATGTTCGTTATAGACATTATAATTTATTTGCAGGTTCTATTTTCACACAAGGAGCCGCCGCTAGAACTTCTTGATACCGATGCGAAAGTTGGTGAAAATATAAGTTATGTTACATTTGGTGAGTATGTCATATAATTTTATACATGCTGCTCTGTTTTATTTACTTAACATTCTAATACATTCCAATACTACATGACAACCGAGTTAAACTGTTTTTTACCGCGCTATTTAATATTCTGTAACACCATTTGTCAGAGTCCAAGTTGTCACCAGAAACTGACGTGCACATATAGGTAAAATGTATGAATGTTGAAGTAGCAAGAGAGGCGTCAGGACCGCGCCAAATGGAGATCTCTGGTCTCTGTCTACCCCTCTGAGTTAAAGGAATGAGTTGTGTTGATATTCCATGGTAAATAAGCTGGTTGTTTCTACGTATAGTGCTATTCCCGCGGCACACGTGCGCGGCGGCGCGGGACAACACCATAGACCTGCTGCACATGTTCCGCGACTACCTGCACTACCACATCAAGTGCAGCAAGGTGTACGTGCACTCGCGCATGCGCGCCAAGGCCGGCGATCTGCTGAAGGTGCTCAACCGCGCGCGTCCGCAGCCCACCTCTCGCCCCAACGAACGCAAGACCATCACGTATGTACAACCACCTCAGAAATCTCTTCAAATTTAGAATCTGGTTATAGAAGTCTTTGGTAAAAGTCAGTAAGATTTAACTATAAAATAAAACAAATTTTTGTCAAAAGGGAAGATGATGAGCGAGTTATCAGTAAACAGATTGAAACACGAATTAATAAAATTCCTAAGATTTTGATCTTAAGCTGTTGCCCCTCACAAAGTGGCAGGCACTTCATATATTGACGTATATTTTTGTAATAATGTAATGTTTTGCTTATTTTTCAGGGGGAGAACGTTTATAAGGCGAGACTGAGTGTTGATCGGGCGCGGGACGTAGGCGCGCTGTCCGCACGTGACCGCTCCGGCGCCGCCTCGTGTTCACTGCAGACGATACTCCTCCTTATACCTGTCGACATAAGAATCAGTTTCCTCTCACACCATAGAGTTATTGTTGGAGTGGACGCGCTATCCCACCCTCGAGGCCCGCAATGTGCGTATCTCTCCTACCTAACATGTAACCGTCATTATCGTGTACTTCGTGTTGATTTTTGTCTATTTATTGAAAATTATATTCGTCACAAAGTACTTACAAATGTATTTGCCAATATTCATATTCGAAAACTGTTTGCCAAATATTGGATATGCTCAATATATCGTTAGATTATGTTGCGGACGCGGGACGGAATGTGCACATTGTATATGCAGATATTTATTGTCGATGCGCTCTCGAGCCTAGCCTAGTGAAGTCAATAATGTTGCCGTAGTATTTGTTGATAAACAAAATTATGCTTTATTATTATTATTAATGAGAGTTCTATTTATAATGATGGCACTGCGTCCTTCGTGATTCGGGTTCCTAAATCTATTGTGTACACTCTGTCATATAAATGCATAGACCACTGTAGCGGCCGTCACGAGTGGACCTTTCTATTAGTTTATTTACGTAATTTTGTTGATGTAAGTTACGCAATACCGATCCTCATGTAGACTAAAAGTGTATTATAAAATGTAGCCTATACTGTTTCCATTTACTACGTTGTTGATGTATGGGAGGCGAGACAGGTTATCATGCACAAACTTACGAATTACTCAATGGTTATGTTAAACTGCACTGTACACCTCTCGTTTCATTGCTTTATGCAATAATGTGAACAATAATTATTGTAAAACGTTTATATTATGTTTCTAGGTAGGCCCCATTCAATTATTAATGTAAGCGGAAAGTGTATAAATAATTCCCAATAGATAACTTCCATAGACAGAGAGTCGGAGTGAATCATAATGGCCTTATTTAAAGAGATCAGTTTGTTGGTTTGTGGGAGCCGTTAGCGGCTGAGTCCGGTAGTATCGCTAGTTTAGCCCGAGGTACGCTGCGTATCTAATATTTAACTGTTTTTATCATTCACTATATATTTCGATTCCAATTTGCATTTATTATAATTTTGGACTATATAGATTGTTTGCTCCAAAAGTTTTTGCATTGTTAAATATTTAAAGCTGAACAGTTTCTCGGCGTACTAAGTCACGTAACCTTTGTCCGGTGTATTGCAAAGAGCTCACACCTTGCCATATGGTGATTCTAACAGATTTGGCACCAGGTCTTAATAAAATTAAATGATTCATTTTAAGTAGAAGAATTTATAGTAAATTTGATTTAGAAAATATTCTTTTTTATTTCAAATAAATGGGTGTGGTGTCTTTTTTTACACCGATGAGATTGCGACTAAACTAGAAAGTCATGGACTGAGGGTTTTAGAATATCAAGAGATTTGTTTGGAAGTTCAATGGATAAAATTCACTAAGTCATTCATATTAATTAGGTGTAATTGAATCAATAAAATGTCATGACACAATCGAAAAAAAAAACAATTTTATGTTTTTAATATGAAACATTACATCAAGTAGTATCAATTATTTAAAAAAAATGTAGCTAACTTGAATTTTATGTAATTTTTATTTGCAAGATGTATTATTTATGTATTATAAAATGTAAGTTAAAATGTTGCTTTAAAGTTATTGCTTACAATTTGATCATTGTTTTTACTGACAGTTTTTAATGCGATATTATGCGAACTGTGCAAATGTGAACGTTATATGTGAATATGTAATTAATTATTCTTGTGATCTAAAATCCGTTTATACTGTGTTTTTTTTTATTTTCTAGATTAAAGAAGACATTTTACTGCAACAAAATATTAATTATTTGACTCTTAATACAGGTACACATTACAAGCATTGTTTTTATTTGTGACATCTAATACCAGACAGTTCCTTCCAATTCATAGATTTAGAAACAAAACCCATGACAAGAGTTTATCTCATTATATATATAATAAAAGGTTCGCGATTTCCCGTTGTCCCGTTCCGTGATCCTTGTATTTCTTTGATCTATTTTTTTTTAATCTAAATAAAATGGTGTTGACACAAGCAGAATTTTGATGAAAAAAAATACTAAGAATTTTTTATTTATTACATCTTTATTAATATATTTCCAGTAACCGGTTTACTTCTACAATATGTAAATAGAGATTCTTAACTTATTCATATTTTTTTGAAATAATTAAAATTCCATTTTATTATCCGTGGTCGGTGAGGTGGGCGATTTGGGCTGTCCGAGTTTTGACAGATGCGCCACTTTGGTCGCGAGCTTGACGAAGTTCGCTCCGGACACCTGCGGCTCCGGCTTCTGGCTGTTCTCGGGCTGGAAGGACGCGTCCAGAGAACCTGGAAACATTAAATTTCACTTATAAGAACCAGAGTCAGCAATGTTTTGTAGGTTTAACTTTTAGTTTCACGTCTTGTAGCTAACACAAAAAAGCAGATGATTTAAAAACGTAACGTAATAAGTTTATATTGCCAACTGCAAATAACCTTAAATACGTAAATTTTATGAACAATTATTTATTTTAATGTTTACTCATAGCAATAGTACTTAAACGCATCAGCCGATATTATTACTATTCATAAGTTTTACCTATAATTAAGTAAAGTCGTATGTTTTCTTACTCTGTTGGGGCGACATGATGGAACTGGGCTGGGATCCTTGCTGGTTGTCTTCCATGGAATGTGTTTTTTCGTGCAGCAGTTCCAAGGCTGGCGAGCGTCCGAGACAGAGTAATATATCACATGATCTCTAACATACTATCTTATCAATAAATAAACAACAAACAAATCTGACAAGATTTCATTTCCTTTGTCAAACACAACAAAATAAATAACGAAATAATGCGTTACACATGTATTATAGTTTTCTGATATCTTAGCGGCTCTTAACTTCGCGCGAGTAGCTGCACAGAACACAATTTTAGGTGTAGCGAGGGGAGGGCAATGTGCAGCGCGCCTAAGACCTTATGCCGCAAAGATATTTGAAAAGTGCTATACCTTGTTGTACCTGTTGGTTTAATTGCTGAATACTTTTTGAAAAATCATTTTATCTCTGTATTTTATAACATAATGGGAAGGATGATAATAAGTTTTTACAAGTGTTTTGAAAACCACACTAAGCAAGGAAAGTTCTGAGAAAAACTGAATACCGTCTTGTAAAGACATGGCGTCCATCTTTGAATCCTGTATCGTTTCAAGTTGTTGTCGAAACTTGTTAGTAATTATGCGACGTTGGTAGTCCGCTTCGATTTGCTGCTTCGTTCGTGGTATGCGGAAACGGAAACAGCAGCATAGCATCACAACTGGGATAAAAAAAATATACCTTTATTAGAGACCTACACTATGATTAAGTACTTTATACCATACTGAGCAACATGGTTTTGTCGTGGCATTCTTCATTATTTAAATTATGACCAGAAATGTGATTTGAAACCAGTAGTGGTGGAGGTAAGGCGGTCCGTGCTAGTTTGCAAAATACTAGAATTCAAGGAACATAAACGTGGTGTTCAGTAATTTGAATCGTAAAAAGTAGAAGATGGACGATGTCTCTTTTTTTCTATCGACTGCTCACGGTGCTACGCCATTTCGAGATGGATTAAAAAAAAGGTCCGTTCCATTTTTTTAACTTCATGGTACTTATAACTAATTATCATTATCGCTTACCAAAAGAAGTTATTCCAGCTAAACATAAAAAAATAATTTGCCAAACTCGTAAACCACCTATGACTGTTTTCTCGAGCCATTCTGGTTCACCAGAATTTTTAATAGCGTCTATAATAGGATCCATGTTTAATAAAAATAAGTCGGTAACTAACGACACGTCCACGGGCTACTTCTGTAGATGTAAAAACTAATTGTTTCAATTCCGAGGAGTGGTTAATAGCCGCGCCTACATTATCAACCCTCGGCACACCCTTACTATTTCATTTGGAGTCGCGCCTTCCCCATGCTTACTCCATTTGTATTTACTAATATTGTAATTATTTTAACCGTTGATTATTCCTTTATCTTGTACCAATAATTATAATATATTTGCGAACAAGTTTTAGTGAAAATATTTACAGCTCGTATTGTACTGAATTGAATTTCCCTCCGACTCCGTTTCCGCGTGATTCCATTACACGATCACTACTATTACTTCATAATTAATTTCTTTAATTCAAATTAATTTATTAATTTTTATAAACATTCTTAACAACTAAAATTTTATTAAGCAAATGCAAAAATCATTAACAATAATTAAAAAGCTACTGTTTACAAAAATTCAATCGAGCAAAGTGTAACATAAAATGTAGTAATTAGTAAATTGACTTTCTACTTTATTCTATAACATTTAGATTAAAACAAATGAAAAACTTAACGATTTAATCTTAATTTCGAGCTAAATGGTTGTAAAAATTATTTTATACAATGACAACATATATTCGATCGTTTTTCTCTTTCATTTGAACTGAAGACTGTTTCATCTTCCCGCAGAAAATAGGGTGTCGAATCTGTCTTATAACCTCCGTTATATTTATTACTACTTAAAGATCGAAGATGTATTTCTTATGATAATTGTGATTTTATTTGTGCGAAGGTTGTTCTAAGTGATGTTGTGTAAGATCAACCGTGTTCTTGCGGTCATTCTGTAGCATTTTTAAAAATTAAACATGGCCTCGAACCGTGGAATTCAGATTGGATCCGCGTGGTTTCAACGGAAGCTAAACTTAAGACCGCAACACCGAGGCGTGCACCTTGTTACCGAGGAAATCCTCAAGCAGGTGCCCGAGCTGTCTCAGTTTGCGGTTGGACTTTGCCATATCCAAAGTGAGTATTAGCGAAGACAGCGTTCTTGCCGCCGATCTGTATCCCCTCTTACAGTCACATTAATAGTTTTTGAATTTAATTCCCCGCGAATTGTCGATGTGTTCATTATAATGTAAAAAAATTAAACATTTGGACACTGCATTCCATATTTTTATGAAGTTATCATAAAGTACCAACTAGCTGATGGTAAACTTTGACTATTTACAGTAATGCATACTTCAGCAAGTTTGGCACTCAATGAAAGTTGGGATCCTGATGTTAGAGACGACATGGAGATGATGCTTAACAAAATAGTACCAGAAGGCCTTCCTTATCGTCACTCTTGTGAAGGACCTGATGATATGGTAAGTTACTAATATAATAGCATTGTATATTATCCTATTTGTCTAATAATTATGAATTTGGAATGTTTTTTTGTGTTTGTCAACAATTCTTAATGGAAAAATACACAAGTTTTTTTGTTTAACATAATAATTAAAATATTATACAATATATATCATAAATAGATAAAACTTAAACATAAGTATCATGTTTTTACATAGTAATAATAATTGATTTTGTCCTTACTCAATGACCCCTGTTTGTTATCAGAGGATTGCTAATCAGTGAAGTAATTAATCACATTTGCAGTTATGAAGGTCACATTATAACAATAATTTTATTATATAAAGTTTCTATGTTACTTACATTGTAATCAAATGATGGAAAATAATAATGAAGATGTAAATAACAATAGTGTTATAAATCATTGTTTTGAAACATGAATATATCCTTTGAATTTGTGAATTGAAACTTTTAATAATTCTTATAAGTGTATGAGAAAAAAGGAGAAGGGATTTTATAACATATTATTTTTGCAATCAGGTTGTTTTTTATGGCACACACATGCTCAAACAGTATCAAAATAAGAATAAGTTTGAATTAATTTTACTATAGCATTCATATGATTCAATATGTTCATCAAGAATAATTCTAACTCGCTCAAGAATGTTTTATTCTAAATTCATTAAAATTAAGTTTAGTTTTCGTGACTTATGACATTATTTGAACAGAGGTATGATATGTCTTTCTCATTTCAAGGCTCATTAGACCATACAATGTTTTAATGCTGGTTACACATTATAAATGAATTCATGCTGAGCAGTCTTAAATGGATGATATTTTTATTGAGCTATAAACTTTTTACATGTTATAAAGTGTTATAAAGATTTAGATAATAGACAAGCTAAGATTAATTTTAAATGTTTTATCAACAGCCAGCACATGTGAAGGCATGTTTCTTAGGATCATCTCTAACTATCCCAATCACAGACGGCAAGTTAAATCTTGGAACATGGCAAGGAGTTTGGTTATGTGAACATCGGAATCACGCTGGCAGCCGAAAGGTAACTTTAATTTTATTATTTGATGTTGAATATTCAATTTTTGATATGGAAAAGTTTCTTTCCTCTATTAAGGTCAAGTTTATCAAAGAAATGATCAGAGTTTTATATGTAGCCGAGCATTCTATATAAAATTATTATAATATTATTGTTTCCTTCATAAATACTTCTTAGGGTAATGATCAACAGTGTTGTGTAATATATAAGTATAAGAAACGATTTGTTGTCCTCCTGCAGGTTGTGGTAACCCTGTCTGGTTGTCCACGCGACTCCCCCCTGTCGCCGGTGTCCGCCGCCTCTTGCTCCAGTTAGGAAAGGGGGGGGGGCGCGACCCCCCACACGCACTCTCACTCGCGCCCCTCCTCCAAGAGCACGCGGAGGTAAACCCCGCGTAACACCTTTTATATCCCACACATAAACTAGATATTAGTCCTTATTCTTACCTTAAAATGACAATATGTACATAAGATAAATATTATGTAACGCTTTGCATGGCAGTTTGCATGGGCCTCTTCCTTCATCTGTGCTTTAACGGTCAAAATATTTTTATTTAATCCGATGCATTATAATCCTTAACATCCTCATATATATTTGAATTTATTATTGCTAAACTACAATTCCAATGTAGTATTATTCCGCCTCACTGCCAAATTGCCATGCAATGTATAAAGCCCTATTAATGTTATGTTCATTTAACATGAGCTGAACCTGTTTGTACATAAGTATAATGTACGACAATTTTAAAGTATACATGAAGAAATTAAATTGTTGTTTTGTTATTGCAACTTGTCGATAATGTACATAGATCACGCGTGGACATTGTAACATTCCGCTTTGTAGGTTCGGTTGTTAAACAGTTTGATGTGACATATTTTTGAATATAAATAAGTGCAATGTGTATGTATGGTTGTCAAAATTAATTAATTTGAATGAATTGTCTATTTCCACCATGCACTTGTTTAAATTTTCAAAAAGCCCACTTCGGAGGTACACTATGTTTCTTTTGTCAAAACACAATGTAACACTTTTTACATCTGACACTGATTTTATTACACAAACTTTGTCTGTAATGGCACTGGTTAATTGTTCATGTAAGTTTATAAGGTGCATATAAATAGCTATTTAGTTAAGTGCATCTAAAACCTTTCTTTCTTCATTTTTAGGTTAGATATTAATATATAGAACATGAAACATGTCCATAGCTTTAAATGTGTCGCACTCGTTGTATCAACGGGTCATCTGCATGATGATTGGGAGTGAGGAAAAATCACCAATTAGTATATAGTAGTAATATCATTATTTGATAAGATCATTTAAGTGCCTCGAGTCCTTTGGGGTGGTCACGTGTTCATTTGCAGACATGTTTCATGCACTTTGGATATGTTGGAAATTGAATTGATGGACTGATTCCTTTCCGTATACATATATATGTAAATGCAATAATTGTATGTTGTTTTAACTTGTTATGTTCAGTAATAATCACTTTTAAAGGTATGATAATATTTATCAATCATGTTTAACAATGTCGGTTGTTTTGTGTTGCACATTGAAAGCATATATATGTATAGTTGTACGTCTTCCTATGTAAGTTCATCAAATAAGATCCAGATTAGTGTAATTATGGAGATAAAGTTACTGAAATATGTGAACGGTATTAGGGTATGGCAACACCTCTATATCCGGCCACAATATAATTTAGGCTGTAACAATATTATGATAGGAAGCTTCAGTACCAAATCATTGGTGGCTTAGACGAGTATAGGTGTTAATATAGAAGAGTAAAATGGATTAACCAATAGCAAATGTCGTTTTTATACGAATCGAAATGTAGAATATATTGTGACGTTTCTTAACGAGTCAAAAATATGTTTGTAAAATCATTATATTCTTATTATGACGGATGTTTGAATTTTCTTGTTTCCTGAAATTACATTGACAAGAGCTTTATATTGAAATGCAATAGTTATTATTCAATCAATATTTTCAGTTTGAAATTTTGAATCCATTGTCATTGCTTTTATTGCACAATGTAACTGAGGAAATAGGTTTTAAAGAAATATAAATAGTACAATATGGGTTAGGTAGTTCATTGCATTGTCTGCGGGAGTGACTGGGATCTCTTGTATTGCCCATCCGGGGACAATTTATACACGCACAAAGAGGGCAGGCCGCAGACGCGTAATTATTCTTTTGATACTGCATTGTACAAAGAGTAGATGACACAGACATGATTCGTTTTCCCGCCGACCATTTTAATCTTTGTCTCATCTTCATATTAAAACTTTTGTTTTTCTTGTATACCCAATGTCATATTAAGTTTTCATAATGATCTTGTTTGCATCAACAATATATTCGATATATATCTATGTATGCTTATCAATACAAGTTCGTAATAATTAAGCACAAATTAACAATTAATTTTTCACTTAGATCGCCTTGGTAATATTTCACATTTTGTCTTTTGGATAGGATTTTTGGATGTGGGTCGGAGCTGGTTTGATAAGTGCTTTTTAACAATATTTAAGGTTTGTATATATTTTTTGCAATAAAATAACATGTATGTACAACAATATTCATGTAAATAATATTTATTCATGTATAAAAGATGTTGAGTGCTGTTTGTGTATGGGTGTAATGCCACTGCCATAAACAAATTTGCCTCTATACAATATTATATTGAGTATGAATATTATTTTGGCATGTTATTGTCAATTCGATGTTTTTTTATTAAGTCACTACCTTATAAATATATATGTAGGTATAGGTAAATAGTAAGTTTTCCAAAGTGAAATGGCTGTAGCGACTGGTTCGCTTAGATTTATCTAACATTCCTTTTTATACATACATTTATCCATACATTCCTTAGTGTCCACGGGCATTGATAATTTTTAGTTTGTAATGCCCTGTTATATCAGGGTCAAAATTATGAAGTACATTCTATATACTCATATTTATTTCCCATAAAATAAAAAAAAAGTTTTCGACATTTTTGATTTTTGTTTAAAATGTTTATCAAACTTATAATTTTTTTATTCTATATTTTATGGTTTATCTTTTAATTCAATCAAATGTGGACGCTTGATAAGATTTATTTTGTGGAAGGTTTTTATTCAGCCTGTGAATACTAAGTACTGGCCCATTTTAGGCTGTTTTTTAACAACGAATGTGTCTAGAAATTAACCTTTAAGTCAACGTTTTCAACAAAATGTTTTTAGATGTTGTACAACCTTAACCTATGTACAATCTGGAATCATTTATTTTGTTTTTTGTGAATTTTTTTTAATCACAACCATGTATGTACTTTTTTTCATTAACAAAAACACCAATATACTTGAACTACCTAAATATTTGGTAGCTTAAGAAAGTGTGATACTTTTTATAGAATAAATGCATATAGGTAAAATTTACTAACACTGGATATCAAATTTATTGATAAGTATAGCACACACTGCACCAATTTTTGATTAATTATTTACGATAAAACTATTCTGGAAATCTCTGCATTCATCAATCTTGACTGTGATTGGTTGAATATTTTCAATTGAATTATCCATTGGAGACATCATTTTTTTAAATCGAAACTTTTCAGTGGTTGTAATAATTGTTGTATTGTTTTTGAAAATTACATAATATAAGTATTGAATAATAAACAAATGAAATTGTAATATTAATTGCTGTTTTATAAAAAAATATACATACAGGATTCAATATAATGCAACTTTTATATTTTTTTTTAAAACGGTTTTTCTTTTTTATGTCGATTAAATATCGAATACTTTAAAAGCAATGTTGTATTGATAAAAATGTTTTCTGTATTAAAAAATATGGAAATGTGCACGAATTTTACTGTAATAATTTACCAACGTAAGAAATATTGATTTATTAATATTGCACATAGGAAATTGAGGTTGTAAAACAGGTTTAAATAAAATAACCAATCTGTGAGACAAATAATTTGTGTGTAATATTGTTTAAGAACAATAAAAAATATGGTATCATTGTATGATTGTATGTACAGAATATAAAATTCAAACCATGTCATGTTCTCTCAGTTGTCAAGTTGTCAGTTTGACAGTTCCGCATGAAGTGACAGCTGGATGTCAAAGTAAAAATTCAAATGTATCATATAACTTGTACAATATAAAATATTATAGATCCCACGATTATAAAAGAGAATTAAATATTTGCAAAAGTTGTTCTAAAGTTTTATTTTACTGTTTCTCACCTCATCCTAAATCAGTCAATACAAAGCAAGACCACTTTGCACTTTAACTTACACTGTTAATTAGATCTACATTATTTGGTACGTATTTATGTTGCATCAGTTGGTCGCTTTCTCCTCGCTGTCGATCTCATGGGGGCCCGCGCTGTTGGCTGCAAAGGAAACATTTTATTACCAACATTACCTGTTGCCGACATTGATTATGTTTAAGAAACAAAAACAATGTAAATCAATATCGTAAAATCATCCTAAAAAGTTGCTTGTATAGTTTCCCTTCATTCTATTACGAAACAACTGAAGATATTGAAAAATGTAATTAATTAATCATTTTGACCTAAATACATTTATTTTATTCAATCAATTTGTTTAAAATTAATTAGGAAAGATTTCAAATATAGAATGATTGCCAAGTTTGTGTCACATCTGCATTGTGGTCTTTTTAAACATCTATCTTACTAGATTGACTAATTCGGAGCAATTTTTTTGACATTATTTGTATTTGAGTAATCATTAAGTCTTACTGTTTAATTTCGATTGCACAGTAAGCAGATTGGACTTTGCTTTGTCGAGCGCCTCCCCCAGGCCGGTCTTAATCTGACTAAACTCTTGTGTCACAAGGGACAGCCTTCCAAGTAAATAATTCAAGTTATCGTCCACTTCCGCCATGCGTGTCGTGATCAGAGTCACCTGGGAATAGAAACGATTAAATTAATTAGCTTCACTTACACCCGTATTTCCATTGAAATAAGAGTCAAATTCCTACTTACTTTTTCCTTCATGCTCTGCATAGTCGCGGCGCTGCCGTTCACGTATTGTTCCGTCTGTCCCTGTAAATGTATACGAAGTAAATCACCATTTAATATGTGATAGGGTTTTTAATTACATTACAATACTTGAAATGGCACGAGGGGACGAGAAAAACCCACGTAAAAGCGCGTTATAAAGAACATAATCACTTAAATGAACTACATTATACCGAGAATGTTTTGATACTTTACGTGGGTAATGCTATTCCCTGTGGGAATTATTATTGTCCAAGCTACATTAAATATTTGATATTGTAACGTTCCTGTTTGCTAACTCACATTATATACAGGCGTGTCCTTGTTTCATTATAATTGAATGTTTAATGGTTTTGAAAATAAAAAACACGACTTTTTGTTAAGGTACACCCCACCTTTTTTTTTAATTTGACAGTTATGACGTCACAATATGGCGTGGGTTGCATATTCTTATTTTTAACGCAATTTAACTCGTAGCCAGGAAATAATGCGTATAGTGTGCATTCTCATACATACATAAGCAACATCAGACCTCCGATCCCGCCGGCTTGTTTGCATTCCTGTACTTTTAAGATTGTGACAATTATAAAAACGATCTAACCGTAAGTTTATCTATTGCGGCCTTGCTGGCTGAGAGTTGCTGGTACATGCTGCCGATCTGCCGCCACACCTGCGTCATCTCTGACTCGATCTTAGCCGTTAAAGACATCATCGCGTTCATTTGACTGTTAACTATTGATGCTTCAGTCGCGTTGATGCTAAACAAAGAATAAAGTCTAGTTAACGTATGTTTACATTGCCCAAATATAGGTTATATCTCAGAATTTTGAAAGACGATGTTTATTAAACTATAAAACTATTCCTAAAAGATTTCGTTCCCATTATTTAGCATCTATACTTTCACATTGACTCACTAATGGTACAGCCATCAAAAACATTTAAATTGTTTTATTAGCCTTAATTCAAATTGACAGTTCGTGCTCCGCAACAAATTGTGGTACCCTTACAAATCACTATTTAACAAAGTAGGTTAAACGTTTCTGGGATCGTGTTCTTCAATATAGTCAATAACGGCTTCGGGTACTCAATTTATTAATTTATGAACAAAATGATTTATTAATAGCTGGATATTTAATTAGTCACAATAAGGGCTCGATCAAATAATCTTAAGTATTCTGAAAATTACACTTATTTTCAATAAAATCTCATTTAAACACAGTATTTTTTTCATTCTTTTTGAAAATGTCATCAACGATGACATTTGAATGGCGGCTATTGATTGTTGTGTATTAACTGACCTGTTGACAAGAGTATTGTTAAGATGCATGGTCTGCGCTTTGACCAGCTCCCTCATCTCGAGCAGTATCTGATGCATGCCGTGGTCTATGCGCTTCTTGTTCGCGATCACGTTGTCCGCCGTCTGCAGCATCACGTGCTCGTTCTTTGATAGAGCTTGCACCTGCCAGACCATAATAAGCAAATATTTTTTTATATAATACACCGAAAAGTAACTATTAATTGTTAGTATAAGAGGGGACGGGGCTACTAAAGAAAATCTGCTATTTGGGGGAAGACAGGGTGTTTGTACTGTGTTAAAATTGGAGTGTAACATGAAAGATTCTGACGATTCTAAGGAACACGTCGAAAAAGTTGAATGGACCTTAGGGTGATACCCTAAATATTTGTTGTAGAAATTAAAGTAACAAAATATTTCTTTTCTTTAATTAGTATGACAAAAATATTCACTCTATAATGCCTCCTTTGTTTATTTACATGATATAATAATAGTTCGGTTCTGTCAACAGCAACCTGTTGTTCGCCGATTTGTGCGCAAGTCGATAGTTTTTGCGTGAACATTACTCGTTCGTTTGAATTGTTCTATTTATAGTAGTCAAAATTACGCGTACATTGGGGAAATAATTGAATGAAGTTTTACGATAAATTTCCTAAGTGTTGTTATTTTCAATACAAAATGACTTGAACATTCTCCATTAGACGTGAAGCTTATATGTAAATCTCCATCCATAGATTATACATGTATGGACAAACCTCCTTGAGCAGCGTGGCGTAGCTCCGCGAGATGTCGTTGTAAGCGCGTTCGCTCATCGTGTTGCTCTGCGTGAGACTGTTCTGTATGTCGCCGTTAGTTGTCGCCAAACGGTCGCTCATTTCTCGAAGCTTCGTCGATATCTTCTCAACAGCTGCAAAAGAAAAAGAAAGAATCAATTTATAGCTTTGCAAGTTAAGTCAAGCCACCAACTCGTATGATATTGGGAAGAATTTTGTGCTGTCGCAGCGAAGAATAGATAAAAAAACTGTAATTTGGTGGATATTTCAAAATTTCTGATAGATTGGTTTTCTAATATGTAGACTAGTGCAGACACTAAACGTTCACGTACTAACTATTTAGAGTCTCGTAATGATTACTTAAGTAGTTCTTTAGTGTCCATTTCTTTCTCCATTATGACATTGTAACTACTCTGGGTGTGTAATAACATATAAATTATACCTCAAATGCTGGCAGTTTTTTGTATGATATTCGAACTTAAGAGAGAAGAAAATTTATTTCTTTGACGTCCTTACTGTTATCACTGTCATCGGTGATGTTGTGTCGAATGCTCTCGATGCTCTCCAGAGTGATGTTGAGAGCGAGCTGGGTGTCAGCACGTCGCGGCAGTTCTTTCCACGTGCTCTCCGCCTCAGACAGCAGCTGTTGGATCTTCTTTATCTCTCCTTCCTGACGCTCCATTACTACATGGAAAATGTGGCAAATTTATTAAGACTATGTTACTCCCACATATATAGCTATTTTCCATTAAAAGACACGTCAAATTAAGTCCGGCCGTTTCGAAGATTACCATACATAAGCAAAAAAAAATGATTTTCCTTTATAAGTGAAATATTATTATTCTTAGCTTAAGACATTAGCTTAAATTATTTCTGAGGGTTGTTAAAACCCTCGTATATCTTGTTTCTAAATTCAACGTACTAAGGTCATTTCATTTTTTGATCTTTAATTACTCTTCAAAT